TAAATGGTCTTAGTTTAAATTGCGGGGGGAAATTTTGGGTTTTGTTTTGTTTTGTTTTGTTTTTAATAAATTTGACATGAATGTATCTGTGGTTTTTTCCTTTAATTTTGGCCTTTATACTTATAAATGGATATATGTCCTAAGACAGCAATTGTCCTTTTCTTCTTCCCATGCTAATTCATAAGACTATTTTCGTTAATTCAATGTTGACATACATTAGAGTTTTGTTTTTGGTTCAATTTAACAGCTTATCATTCCAGAACAGGAAGAATCAGCATTCACCTCTTGAAATACCAACACCTTAGAAGATTGCTTATTTCCCACATTATTTTCTTCTTAGAAATGGTCTCTTTACTTCCACTCTGAATTTTGGTTCTGTAGGTAGTATACTGGTTATGCACAATGAAATAAATTTTTGCCATATGTTATTGTTGAATTTCTGTGGTAAGGCTATTTGTATTATATTTATAATCTATTAGTCTTTTAAGAAATTTTTATATTGATAATAAAGTGACAGCTTGGAATCAGGAAGGCCTGAATTCAAATTCTACCTCAGATACTTAACTCTTAGCCTTAGTATTCACATCTGTAAAATTAGAGGTTTGATCTCATTGTTTTCTAGAATAACTTCTAGCTCTAAATCTACCCTGTTAACTCTAAATCTGTAATGCTATCTATGATTATGTAGTTTGACTCAGTTTTTGGTTTAGGATTGTTTTTGTGAGTTGTTTTGTTTTTGTTTTTGTTTTTGTTTTTCCAGGAGCAGTTCTGCATGTTGCAATTGTAAAAGTAACTGTGGAGATTAATATATAAACTCTGAAAAAAATGAGTTGGATGTGCTGTGTTGAGGAAAAAGTAGTCACTAAACATGTCTGTTTTCATTCTATTCTGAAAGCTTATAACATCTATCAGTTAATTATATCTTGCCCTGTGTTGTCTTAAGTTCTTTTCATTATTTTTGTTTGCTCATTTTTATTCTCTGCTAGACCACTAAGTTTATATATATTATGATTTTAAATATAAGATAGTTAATATAGAAGCAAATAAGTATGTCAGTTGTTGAGAGTGCAGTGCCCTAGTTAAAAAAGATTTGTCCTTAACACTCTTTTCTGTATAGAGTTTTTTCACCCTTACAATTAACATTCAGTATAGGTTAGATATTTTGTCAATTCACTTTCTCTGTGATTTTTTATGTTAAGTTTAATATTGTTTTTAAAAAAAAACTAATTGGAAGTTGAGAGTAAGAGAACATTGACTAAACCTATTAGTACTAAAGTTGGATTATCAATTATATTCATGTTTTAAAATTTAAAATACAACTCTTCTATAGACATCAATTTCAAGGAAATAGGTCTAAAATTTTCCTAAAAAAGGTTAAATCAGCAGTGATGATCAAAAACACTAGAATTAGTGTTAGTTAGAATTCACATCTCCAGCTGCCTTTCAAACATCTCCACCTGGATATCCATTAGACATCTTTAACTTAATACGTGTCAATCAGAACTCATCTTTCCCCTAGACCCTACCCCCTCCTATTTTCCCTGTTACTGTAAAAAACAACCCCATCCTCCTAATCCCTCAGGCTCACAATTTAAGAGTCATTCTGGTTTCCTCACTTATCTCTCGCCCCTCATATCCAATCTGTTGCTAAGACCTATCAGTTTCACCTTTGCAACACCTCTCAAATATACCTCTTTTCTCACCTGACACTGTCAGGTAGAGCAATGGCTCTACTGCAGGCCCTTGTCACCTCACCCTTTGATTACTGCAATGGCCTGCTGGTGGGTCTGCCAGTCCCCAGTCGTTCCACATTCCAGTCCATCCTCCATTTGTCCACTAAAGCGGTTTTCTTAAAGCATAGGTCCAATCGTGCCAAACCTCTTCACCCCCCCAAATGTATTCCAGAGGCTTCTTATTGCCCTCATAATCATTCAGAGCCCTTTGTAACCTAGTCCTCCCCTGCCTTTCCATTATTCTTAAACCTTATTCCTCAACACATACTTGGCCTCCTGACTTTTCTACAGAGAAGATACTCCATCTCTCAGCTCTGGGCATTTCTCTGACTGTCTCCCATGCCTGGAACGCTCTCTCTCCTCCACTCCAACTGCTGATCTCCCTGGCTTCCTTTAAGTCCTGTCTTAAACAGGAATCCAACAGAAAGCCTTGTCCAACCCCTCTTAATTCCAGTGCCTTCCCTCTTTTATTTCCCTTAATTCTCTCTCTTATTTCCTATTTATCCTGTATATATAGCTGGGCTTTGTATATATTTGTTGTCTTCCCCATTAGATTGTAAGCTCCTTCAGGTCAGGGACTGTCTTTTGCCTGTTTTTATATCCCCATTGCTTAACACAATGCCTGGCAACTTAATAAATGTTTATTGATTGATATAGCCACTTTCTACTTTTGCAGGGGCAGTGGTTGAATGTTGAAAAAGATGTCAAAAGGTGCTCAGCAAGCAAAACATTCTTATTTGTTCATAATAACGCTGTTTATTGTTGTTCAGGTGTTTTTGAGTCATGTCTGATCTTTGTGATCCCATTTGGGGTTTTCTTGGCAGAGATCCTGGAGTAGTTTGCCATTGCCTTCTCTAGCTCATTTTACAAATGAGGAAACTGAGGCAAACAGGATGAAGTGACTTGTCCAGGGCCACACAACTAGTATGTGTCTGAGGCCAGATTTGAATTCAGAAAAATGAGTCTTCCTGACTTCAGGCCTGGCACTAAATCTACTACACTAGTACACTAATACACTAGCTGCCCTAGGTATTATTTATATCAAATTCCAAAGCATTATACTGTCTAACAGTCCATAAGGAGACAACATGTCTTAATAATTAGCACTCCTCAAAGCCAGAAAGACTTGGGCTTAAAGCACACCTCTGACACATGTTGGCTATGTGATCCTGGGCAAATCACTTAACCTTCCAGAGCTCTAGGCAACTATAAATTTCAGAGAAAATGCCAACCTACATGATAGAGGAGGTTCTGCACGAAAAGCTCCCTAAACCATTGACATCCCTATCCCTATTCCCCAGCAATTCATATAGTTTAAATGTTCCTGTTGTCCAAAATGGAATAGCATTTGGAAAGTTAGTCCATTATAATTAGCATTAATTATTTGGGGAGTATATTTTTGTCAAAGAGGTTTTTTAAACTCAATAATTTCCTCAGATTCATAAAATAAAAAAAATTAATTGTAACAAGCTATACTGAAAATTTCCCTTTACAGTAAAGGAAGGGTCTGCTAGAAAATGGAATGATTCTTGAAGTATTCTAGAAATGCTGTTTTTTAGAAGTGCTATTTTACCTGAAATTTATATGCAAAGTGAATGAATGAAAAAGCATTTCTTAAGGGTTTACTTTGTGCCTGGCACTCTGCTAAACACTGGAGATATAAATACAAGATCTACATAATCCCTGCCTCTTAATTCACAAAACAACACAAAAGAAAGTTCAACTGCGGGGCAGATGGAAAGGTCTTAATGGTGCTGCTGGAGTAGAATAGATGGCAAGGCCCAATGGTCCTTAAAGTTACATAGGTAATTAGATAGAGGGAAGGTTACAGGGAAGGTCACAGAGGCAGGCCAAATAACAAGACCTGGAAGATCTTTGGAGACAGTGACAGGGCAGATGGTAAAACCTGATGGTCCTGCTTATCAGAACTCTTGTTGACTCTCATCCCATCTAAGCCCTAGGGAAAAGGCAGGATGGGAGAGCACCCTCAGTTGTGGCTGTTCTTCCCAATTCCCCCGATCCTTCTTTCCCGAAGTCCCCAATGGGTCCTGTGACTGCCCAGTGGAGAGGATAAAGGATAAGGCAGTCCTGATGATGGCAGACCTGTCTCCTGGCCCTCCTGGATACAATTCTTAGCTGTTCATCAAAGCAAGCTGTCTCTCACAAAATGTCTTAACACTTAAAACTTTTTAGTCCTAAATATTGAAGGGTTAAAGTTTCTTAAACAATGAGGTATATATTAACACACCTTCAATTTAAAGACAACTCAATAACCTTGGACAAGTCACTTTAGCTCTCTGAACCTCAGTTTCCTTTTCCATAAAATGAGAAGTTTGGACTCAACCTGCCATCTCTTAAATCTACTATCCTATGTTCTATTATAATCCCAGGAAAATGTATTACAGGAGAGTTTTAATCAACACTAGTAAATTACTTAAAAGTCATATTGAACATTTATTTACTTATAGAACACCTAAAAAATTTCTTCTGAGACCAGCCCTCTTATCATTCTGCATATATTAGGTTGCATGTACAAATGCCTCCTTTGTCCTGATGTCTTTTCTAAGGAATCAGTAGGAAGAAACATCGTTTCTTCAGTTATTATCTGACTTTTTGCATTTACTACTTAGAAGTGAATATTATACTTTGAGAAAATAAAGATTAGCTGTAGCTACTATATTCCCATGAAACTTAATATTCCAGTATGTTAGGATATACAAGACATAATCTGTTCATTCATCACACTAATTTCTAAAATGTTCATTAGATATCTTTCCTCCTTTGAAAATCAAAAGAAAAATATCTCCCCTACACACAAATTTAACTGCTTCCAAATAAAGCCTCATGACCTTGAAACATTACCATTAATATACTAAAATCTCTTCATTCTATAACTCATTGTAAAATTTGGCAGTCAAGCCAGCTTCCTCTTAGTTGGTCTTTTAGAGAAATGGATGGTTTCTTTAAGTATGCTGGTTGTCATTTGTTATTTCATAGGATCATAGAGAGTTGGAAGGCCATCAAGTCCAACCCCCTCATTTTACAGACAAGGAAACTGAGTGTTGCAGAGTTCAAGTGACTTGCCCAAGGTTACACAGCCAATAGTGTCTGAGGCAGGATTGGAACCCAGGTCTTCCTGATTCCAAGGTCTGCATTCTTCTATTTTTTGATATGTAGAGTATCAGAAGAAGAAATTAAATTTGTAAAAGGTATTAAAATATTATTATGAAATTGAAATTAATTTTCCTTTTCTTTTTTGTTTTTTAGTCTGCCATTTTCAACTTTCAGAGCCTACTGACAGTAATCTTGCTGCTTATATGTACCTGTGCATATATCCGATCCTTGGCTCCTAGCCTCTTGGACAAAAATAAAACTGGGTATGTTACTAATATCTGAATGTTCTAATTAATTCTTTCATGCACATCATCTGGCAATTAGTAAATTAAAATTTCATATATCCACTATGAAATTTGCTTACTCTGTAAATTGGTTTAATAATTCTTTACAGTTTCTTCCACTTTTAAAATAAAGTGGAGTTTTACATTTATGTGTACTTTATGAAATTAAAACATGGATTTGACAGGTGACCTTGAAGTGTTATACTAAAAGTATATATTATAAGAAGCCTATTAAAATCTTTCCTCTTGGATTACTGATTTAATTTATGACTTCAAAAGATATTCTTTGGCATTAGCTCTTATGGAATCATCAAAAATATGAAAAAGGTTTAAATCATTTCCATTTGGGAAGCATTGTACAGATTGTACACTATTGAGTATATTTATAGTATCTGTAAATAAAAATAATAAATCTTACTACTGTAAGATCATTCTTGGTACTATAGTTTAAGTCTGTACCTACAATTATTATCTTTTAAGAATTTTATTTGTATTACTTAAAACTGTAATGAAAATCAACTATTGGACATGCTGTATCTTTTTTTAATTTATATTTTCATCTCCTATATGAAAAAAGTAAAGCACCATACTGAAAACAGTTTATTGCATTCATTACCAGGTCCAATTATTCATTTTTCAACCATTTTAAAAAAATAACCTGCTATGTGCAAAGCACTGTATTAGACCCTGGAGAAGATGCTAAGATAATTTGGCTAGGATATATGAAATAATATAAACTTCAATGCTGTACAGTACCTACACTATTAAATACAATTACTATACTAATAAGTAACAATTTGAGAATCTTAAAGTACTCTCTGAGGTCGGAAAAAATTAATTAGAGCACTTGAGTTCAAGTCATGCCTATTCTACTTACAACTTCTATGTCTGAAAAATGAATGACTTAGACTGATTGGTCTCTAAGGTTCCTCCCCTGTAAATACTATAATTCAATAAAGGAAGGATAATCTTTAACTGCAGAGTATAAGGAAGGCTTGTTGAAAGAAATGGTTTTTGAACTGGGCCTTGGAACAGTATATCAAAAAAGAAGAAATGAAAAGACACTGTAGATATGATCAAAAGCACAAAGGTAGGAATGCCCTGGATTGTGGTAAGGATGATCTGTGGTTAGTACAGCTATGGCATGTAGTTCACAAGGAGGGGAGCAGTGCAGAATTGGGCTGGAAAAATGCCAGGTGGTGAGAAGCCTTGAGTTCTAAGCTAGTAAGTCGAGAGGAATTTTGATAGAGAATTAGAAGCCATTTAAGACTTGAGCAGAGGAGTACCATGGACAGAACTGAGTATAAGGAGTATTAAAAAACAGTGTAAAGTTTGGGTTGAAGCAAGAGTTTGATGTAAAGAGCCAATTAGGAGGCTAAGAGATAGTGAGGAGGACCTTATATAGCAGTGGCCATAGGAACAGAAAGGGGGACACAGAATCAAGAGAGATTAGATTGAAGAATTATAATGGATAGGACTTGGTGACTGATGTGTGGGAGAAGGAAGAGTCAAAGATACCTCATTTCAGTGAGCAGTGTGTCTATAATGGGCAGAAAGCTCTTTGAGTCCTGTCATTTTTAAGACACATTTTTATGCACTAAAATTTTTCTCATGATATTTAACTAACAAACTATATTACTGCTATTGGATTGAAGAATTTCAGTTGACTATACTGAAAGTGACCTTATGGATTTTAGTATCCTGAGGAGATGACAATATAGCCTCTCTTCCTTCTTGAAGTTTTATTCGATTATTCCTGATCTCATGCATCTGCAAACTCGAACTCATATGTGGTACTTATACACAGTTTATGCCTAGTACAAGTGAAATAGTACAAGAGAAGCTGAGAGAGTTACAGGATTCTTGACCCAGTAAGAAGGCAGATGAAATTCAGTTTTATGCAGATAGTAACAATCCAAAGAGCTTTTGTGATACCTTGAAGGCTATTTCTTGGCCAAAAACATATGGTGCATCTCAACTACTCAGTGCTGATGGAGCCATATTGATTAATGATAAGAACATGATCCTGGAGATGTGGGCAGAACACTTCCATAGTGTTCTGGGTCTTCTTATTCTTCCCAACCTGGAACTACAGTGTCCACTCACATGTCAAGTCTCACCACTAATCAGCTTGAGAGCTTTGATCTGCTGTCTTTCCTACTTGGGCCACTTTACCCTTCCATAGGCAACCTGCTGGCCCCTCTACTCCTAGGGGCTGACCATATTAATGTTCAGTTTAGTGCAGATACTCAGTCAGCTTAGTCTACTGCAAGTCAAAACTTCTGAGCTCAAGTGAACTTCCAGCCTCAACCTTTTCAGTAGCAAGGATGATAGGCATGCAGCACCACAACCAACAGTGGGGTGAATTCTTAACAAAACAAAGGCTAGAGGTAATTACAAAAGATAAAATCGATCATTTTGATTACAAGAAATTGAAAGGCTTTTGCATGAGCAAAATCAATGAAATTAGAATACAGAGGGAAGGTTTTGACTTAGGGAAGAAATTTTCTCAAATAACTTTTAAGGGCCTAATATCCAAGATATATAGACAACCAACAGTAATATAAAATATTCCAAAGGTCAGTACAGTTTTAAACTATTAAGGATTTAAGCTATTAAAACATAATACTGTACTAATACTAAGAATACTAAGACTTGTGGGTGACCTCGTATATAAGACCACGAACATTTCCCCAGCAAATAAGTGAGCAAAGGATAGGAAAAAACAGATCTCAAGAGAAGAGTTGCAACTATTTAACAGCTATATGAAAGAAGGCCCCCAAGTCATTAATAAAAGAAATGCCTATTTTTTTAAAAAAAATGAAAATTTCCCTCACATCCTGCAAAATTGACAGGTGACAAAAAATGAGAATAGTCAGTATTGAATGGGCTATAAAGACAAGCACATTAATACACTCTTGGTAGAGCTATGAATTGGTCCAACCATTCTGGAAAACAATTTGGAATTATACAAGGAGAGTAACTAAAATTTCTCTACAATTTGATGCAGTAAAATTCCACTGGTAGGACCCAGTGAATGAAAAAGCATGTATTAAGCAATTATTGCGTGCTAGAAAATGTCCTAAGAACTGGGATACAAATATAAGCAAGTAGGACAATCCAGAAACTTAAAATCCAATACAGGAAGACAGCAATGGCCTGGTTCCTGGATGGACAAAGCGAAATCAAGCTCACCTATAAGAGCCCAGGGACCCTGGGACAGAATCTAAGTTCTGGTGGAAAGGGAATGAGGAGGTTGGCCAAAGTGCAAATGACATTCAGAGTTAATGAAAGAGGATAAGAGAGAAAGCTATCAGCTGGGGAAGACATTTCATATCAAATATTTGTTTGAAGGTTCTGATATCCAAGAAATATGAGACCAGAGAAATATGTGATAAAAATATATGATCATTCAATAAGTGGTCAAAGGATAGAAACAAACTCAGAAGAAGAAATATCTGGGAAGAGGTATGGTGGCCTGCCTCTGGGCAAGATAAGGCCGAAATTCACCTCAAAATCTTTAGCCCCAGACACACAGTCCAGGTTCCAGAGCATGATCAGAGTACAGCAGGTATGATTTGGAAATGGCTAGGAAACAGAAGTCAGTAACAAAAAGAAAGGCCCTGATATATACTAACACATTTATAGCAGCATTTTTGGTAGTTTCAAAGAGCTGAAAACAAAGTAAATATGTGTCAATTAGGACATCAATCAATTGTATTACATGACTATAATAGATTATTACTGTGCTAAAAGAAATGATGGGGGGAATAAATGATGGTTATGGTGGCTAGATGGGGCTGTCGTGCCCAAAGCACTAGGCCTAGCGTCAGGAAGAACTATGTTGAAGCCTGGCCTCTGACACTACCTGTGTGACCCTGGGCAAGTTGACTGACCTCTATTTGCCTCAATTTCTTCATCTGTAAAATGAAAATAATAATAGCACCTAGCTCCAAGAGTTGTTGTGACAATCAAATGAGATAATAATTGTAAAGCATGTAGCACAGTGTCTGGCACATAGTAAGTGCTCTATAAATTTTAGCTCTTACAGTATTATGATTACAGATCGAGTAGAGGCAGGAAAGCTGTATACACAATGATTCACAAAAATTTAAGTGGAAAGAATGAAAATAACAGGAATTGAAATTGAATGCTATGAAATTATAGTGACCAAGGTCTGGTTCCAAAGAAGAGAAATGAGACAACCCCTCCCTCTTCTTCGCAGAGAGGGGACTGTGGGTATGCAACAGTGCTTATAGTGTCAGATTTCGTCGACATGTTGGCTGGCTAGCTTTTACTGAACTTATCTTTCTCTTTTTTTACTGCTAGGAGAACCATTCCTTATGGCTCTTTTGGTAGGATGGGGGAGTTTGTAAAGTGAAGGATACAGTGGGAAACATATGTGATATACAAACAAAGGATACTATTTTTTATAAAAACAAGGTAGTCCTTCAAGTTTAGGGTCTTTAATGAGGTTTGCAGTTTCCCAAAGGTAATTAATCCACTTTCCTGCTCCACTTTAATTCTGGACTAAATTTCTTATCCCTTTATACCATTTCTCCCAGATACACATATTAATAGACAAGCTGTCTAGGTTTTACATTCATCTTCATGTCATCTGGGCAGGGCACATTTACTTACTCTTTTTGTATGAATGGTCAGACCAACCTCCTTTCAATGTTTACAAATCTCTTCTAGGAGAATTTGCAATGTCATGCAATAATAATAAAAAATAACCTTGATCAGTGATCACTGATCCTAAGCATCAGGCCAGGTAGAGAAATGTATTTTCCCATTGTGCCAGCACAGGGTCTAAGTTAAAGAGAGACGTCCTGTGGATGGCAAGGTTCTCCAGATGCTTCTCTTTACAAAGTCCACTAAGCTACTTTCATCGAGCCGTGGAACATTAATAGACTCTTAACACAGAAATTATTCTGGGTGTATATATCATTGATTATGATTATGACTCATGTCAGCAT